GTGACGAATTTAGAAATGGTTCGTAACTATAGAAAAAGGGATGCAGAACGAACTAGATCTTATTTGTCGAATTTAGAACTAGTTCGGAACTATCGAATAAGGGATGCAGCGGGGGGCTTATTTACTTTACATAGACAAGTGTTCGGCGATTTTTTTGTTCAAATACGCTTCTATTCTGTGCTTCTCAGATGCTTTTTCATAGCTTGGTAATACAAAACTAAAATTTGTGTTAACATTTCAACATCTTGGGACCGTCTGGAATATAAGAAATAACAGCGAGCGCCTCTGCAAACGCAGCTACAGCCAAAGGTATGTAAACGTACATTTCTTCATTCAAACAAATTTTATTTCAAATTGAAAACCCATTTCTTCCAAAATAACTTAAAATCGCGCCACGGATGAACCAAAAAGATTGAAAAATCATGATACTTTTTTCTTTCGTCCGTCGATTTTCGAACTGGTTCGGAACTATAGAATTTAGGTCTAGTTCGGAACTATCGAAAAAGGGATGCAGCGGGCAATTGACACTTTCTAGGACATCGCCATGTTAAATTCGCCAGTTGCTTGCATGCAAAAGAGATTTATCGCGAACCAGTACTGGGTCTAAATGTACTAGAAGCGCACCAGTTCAGAACTAGAGATTTTCCCCACAGGGACGTTAAAAGTAGCCATCATTTCAGGATAATTTTCTTGTTTTGTCATAACTCACATATTTTACTGCAAATATGAGTGGTGGTTTATTGTTTTTGCTTACGTCAGAAATTTAATTTAAGTCGCACTAAAATTGAGTTCTGAACCATAGTGCAGCGGGTTGAAAATTTTCATTTAACTCTTAGTTGTCAAAAATTTGAAATCCGGAGTACTTTTCTATCAATTGGCACAGGCGTTTTGCGCAAATAAGCAGGCATGTTCTGTAAATCGTTTTCGATCAACATTTTCGGATTTTCCGTTTTTAAATCGTATGACACGTTCTGTAAATCGTTCCGTTTTTGTTTTTTTCGAACATTGCCAAATCGATTTGTCACCCTGTTCTGGAAAACGAAATCGGTAAAATTTTACTGTTTTGTATTCGGCAACGTAGACGAGAGCGGTTTGAAATTTTAAAATATTTTGTATCAATAATACGCATAACAATGTAAGTATTATCATGAAATATATCATCTTATTTGTAAATAAACGTTAAATATCAAAAATATTCAGGGGGAAACACAAGAACATCATATCAAGATGGAACAGTTGGTACATGAAAAAGTCAAAATAAAAATGAGGATGCTCGAGTTAGAATCATCAATGAGGTGATTAATATGTAAATATTTATGCTGAGTTTTTGTTATAGTGAATTTACATGATTCAACTTTCACAGGCGATTAGTTGAACCAAAAGATGAACGAAAGTAGGCAGCCGACCAACTTCATTGAAAGCGATTAGTTGAAAGGCCGTTTACACCAGGCGATTGTTGCTTTCAACTAAAAATCGCCTGAAAAATCTCCTCATGTAAATTCCCTATAAATTTATTTTTTTATAAGTGAATAAAGTTTACGTTCTGTTCTATAATATTAAATTATTCGCAATTAAGTCTCTTAAATTTCGGCCAACATTATTCAAATTTGTATTTTTTCGAGTTCAGTATTTTTTTCAAAAATTTCTTCAGGTTGGGTTGTGCTTTCTGTTTCTACAAAGTCTTCTGTTTGATAATGCCTACAAATGCTATGTAAAGCACAGCAAATATTTATAATCTTAACTACTTTTTGTGGGGCATATGGTAATGCGATTTTTAGACATATGACCCTGCTTTTAAGAACTCCTATTACTCTCTCTATGATATTACGAGCTTTGGCATGTTGGAGATTAAACCTATGTTGTGGTGATCCCGGATTAGGATCTCTATACGGTGTCAATAAAAATGCTTCTATTCCGAATCCGGAATCACCAAGTAACCAGGATCCGCGGTCACCAGCTTCATATTTTGACAAATAATGTTGCTTTGCATTACTCATATTAAAAACAAAAGCATCATGGCTTGATCCAGGCCGGCTTGCATCTACTGCTCGTATAACCATATCGGAATCACAAATCTGTAAATTCCAAAAAATTGTAACTTAAAAACGTGCTTATGCTGTTCAATTTCATACTTACAATCATTGCATTTATGCTAAAGTAACCTTTTCTGTTATAAAAAAGATGCTCATTCTCCAAAGGTTTTACTAACGCTACGTGAGTTCCATCAATACAGCCAATTACACCTGGGATTTCAAATTTTTCCACAAAATGTAGTTTGCATTTCCTCAAATCCTCCGCCGATCTGTCCAACTTAATCCACTTAGGACACAGCACAGTTTCCAAAGCATTGATAATTTCTGACAATATTTTAGATACTGTGCTTCTACTCAAAGCAATGTCAGTATCCTTGCCGACAGAACATTGGAATGAGCCTTCTGCGAGGAATCGAAGGCAGGCTGCTAGCTTGATAAGTAACGGTATAGATGTTTCCCTGACAAATGGAGTTATCTCGTTCAATACTTCTAAAAAAGCACTCTTACTAAAACGATAGTTCGCAATAAATCTAAAAGCAGTTAAATTTAAACAGGCAAACTCCTCGAACGTTTGTTCAAAACTTACATTGAATCAGGCGTACTTAGGGGGTTAGATTCATCTCTTAACCGTCGTCGATTAACCCTCATTTGATAACGTTGCTCCCTTTCATTCAATGCGTAAGCTGCCATAAAAAACATTTTATTTAAAAAAAAAAATTCGTTTAAATTCAATTTTTCTAACAACCACCTCTTTTGTCATGGGGTGTGTTCAGTTGACATAAAGCCGTCAGCTGTTTCGAATTTCAAAGAAATCGAACGAATTACAGAACACCTAAAATAAAATCGCTCGAATTGTCATTTCGGTTCCGAATTCAAATCGTACGAATTTCAGAACATTCCTGAAGGTTATGAAATGCGTTTTATTTAAATCATTTAAAAAATTAGTCATTTATGTATACCATTTTATGTGGAACTAGCAGACCCGGCGAACTTCGTCCCACCCAAAATTTTAATTTTTCTCAACAATTCAATTCAATTTCACCAACAATTCACGTTTACGATTTTCATTGGCACATTCATCTGCTAAGATTATGGTTTGGTGGTCATTTGCCGCTTTAAATAACCTAAAGAAAGTGAATCCGTGAAGTGATCCGTGAAGAAGTTCTTGAAATTCTCCAACTGTGCAGCATTTCATAGCACGGCTATTCGCAAAACGAAGTAAATTTGAAGAATCTTTTCCTCTTCACTCCCTGGCGGCAACAATGACCCGGTTCTATAGTGAATCTGTGCTAGAAGCTTTACAGTATAGTTGGTGGAAATTTCAAATTGGGTGGGAATCATTTTTCTACAGAAATGCAATATACATCTACTTATTTCAGACGAAATACCTTAACAGCTTCAACGCATAATAATATTGGAAATCACATCCATTGGGCCAATCGTAACACAGGAGGGTTCGATATACTCAATGGTGAACAGGTCGATTTAATCTGACCTTCACGGCACCTTTTCTCACTTGGCTATTTTTAGTAACTAGTATCGCCCAGTTGTCGAAATTCGACATTTTTTCATACACTTTTAAATTTTGCTTATCACCAATATTGACTTCTTTATGCGAATGACGATTTTGAAGTCCACCACCAAAATTTAAACTTAAATCCAAATTTCTTAGTATTTCGAAATTATACTGAGAAAGGAACCGCAATTCTCATATATAAAAAATATGTGTATGTACATATGTATAGTGTATGTATAGATGAGATGCCTAACGGTTCCTGACTGACTATTATGTTAAACATATACCATTGCTGCTTTTGTTGCTATTATGTGTTCTAAAGATGAAGCAAATCTGACCACAGATTTTAATGATAGCTCTCAATTAGAGACAAACTCACTGATCCTTTCAAAAATCATTACACAAAATAACAATCATTCAATGCGATTTAGAAATCTGGTAGAAAATGGTACCAATTAAATAATTCTTGCCATTTTATATGTATATACATGTTGGTGTATCAAATTCCATTACCTTATCATAAGTGGGCCCAGATATAAGCGATATGGAATTTTCGCAATAAGTTCGGTAATGATAATATACGCAGCTGTGTAAAATTTCAGAACGTTAGCTTAAGCGGTTATACAGATAAGCGAAATGAGCAGTTCAGCTGTATGGGAGGTGCGCCTCGCCCCCTTTTTCAATACCTACCGCTTTTCGCAGTAAGTACGATATTGAAAGCATATGTTGCTGTGTCAAATTTCTGGACGTTAGCATAAGCGGTTCCAGGGAAAAGCGATAGGAGAATTTCAGTTTATTATTTATTATTTAGTATTTATATGTAGAATAACTCGACTCCAGCGCCAATTGGCAGCACGTTTTTGCAATACTATTGCTCTTACCATGACCAATACATATTTAAAATATTAGCCAAATCGAGCCATAAATAAATTTTTTAGTAAAAACTCAACTACAGCGCAACTGGCGGATTGAATTGTGAAACTAAACCATCCAGAGACCTACTCAAACACACACAAAAAATTTCGTTAAAATCCGTGCAATCATTTAAGAGGATTTGACTCACAAACACACCTACAGAAGAATGATATATACATTCAAAGATAGCTAAAAATCGGTACGTTTGTAGGCCTCACGCCCCCTTTTCAAATAGCCCCAATTTTCTCCATGAGCATGGGGTTGATTTCATATACATACAAATCGCCATACGAAGTTCCAGTACTCTACCATGAATACTTTCAGAGATACGCAGTATAAAATTTCGGTTTGTATGGGAGGTGCCACGCCCTCTTTACCAATACCACCCATTTTTCTTCGTGAATATGCGAAGATTAAAAAAGGCAGTAGTCCCAGCGCGGTTTAAAAATTAATCCCAAATGTTTGACCGTGTAGCGGTCCATTCCTGTCTGTATGGCCGCATTTTTAGTTGTTTCGTTTTTCAACTTTTCTTGCGCTTAACCTTTGTTTCCAGTGTAAGTGCTTTCACTCAAGCCGATTTGTGCTTGTTCAGCAAGAATAGGCCGGTTTTTTGACATCGCTGTGCAGTTGGCAGGTACCGGTGTGTTTGTGGTTGTTGTTGTTGGCGCATTTGAGGTAGTCAAAGAAGTCACTGTACTAGTTGTTGCTGCAGCTATATTTGGGGATATGTTATCGCTTACCGAATTTGATGTAAGCGTTGGGCGTGAAATGTGATACGGCACAGGTGAAGCGCACTCTTCAATCCAAGACATCGGAGTCGTCGATGTTAAGTTTGGAGGACAAGTCCGCTGACTTGAATCTTGAGGAGGTTCGAGGGTGGTCGATGGATTGGGCTTTGTGCTTTCGCTGTCACTCTGGCATCGAATAAAGTAGTATGCGTTGTTGTGTTGAACTGAAAGCCGGCGCTCATTTCGCTCGCGTTGTTTCTGGGCACAGATTTCAGCTTGATTCATTGCTTTCTGTTTTCATTTGGTTTGTTTGTTTATTTATTTTTATTATTATTTTTTATTATTTTTTATATTTGTTTTTGTTTTATTAAATTAGCCCAATATGTAATGACTACGGAGCGAACTTAAAAAAACACGTCGCACTCTTCGACGTTCGAAGAGCTAAATTAAAAAATTATTTACATATTCAGTAAAAACAGATAAAAACGGAAAAATCCTGAAGTAAATCAAAAAATATTTTTGATCTTGTTTAAAACACGTTGCTTTAAGGTTTGGAACCACTTTGCGGATCCAGCTTATTTTCTATTAAATACATCTGAAAAGTTCTAAAGTTAGACAAAAGTAATTTTTTATGCATTATTGTATACCGCTAAATGCATTTGATACTGACATAAAGTCATTGCGTCCTTTACGTGGACATATAATAAGCTCTTGTCTAAAGCCCAGATAATCTTGCATCGCGCATTCCTATGCTTTGCAGCGTCTAGTCCTTGAGTCCCCTCAGGCTCCACGCATCTTCCAGTTCAAGCTGCGTACGCATTGCGAAACTCCATGTTGACCAATTTTCGGAGCCAACCAGCTTCTCCATATTATGCGCCATAGATAGAGGTCTCATCGCGATGTATTCTGCTCACAAACAGTTGATCCTTAAGTAATTAAATTTTGTTTAATGCAAGTGACCCATAACCTTTTAGCAGAGCGTTCTTTATTGAAAGAGCTTTGTGAAGTAAGTGAAAATTTTTAACATTTCATAAGACATTATACAAACGAATATTCAAAGCTTTGCATATAAATTTGTTCGCATGAAGGTAGAATACAACAAGTATATACAACAGTTTTATCATTTTTTGATGCTGAGTTGAACCGGGCGGGAACCCAGGCGCTGCGGAATAGGAGCGCGCACTGCTAACCACTATACCACAGCGACGGTATTAATCAATTATTGAATGAGTGTTAAATAATGCTGACTTCCAAAACGTAGCAATACAATGTTTGGATACTGTTCTACTACGGTATTTAAACTGTTTTTATATGCAGAGTTGCGAAACATTGTAACCACATACATTGCATATTTTAAATACTTAATATAACAATGATTACCCTTTCGAAACATTCCATTTTTAAAACACCGATGGTAACCAAAAACAAACGAAGCATCAACTTTGTTTCTGATGCTCTTATTATTCTAGCGTTTCGGTAACTTCGGATGCGTTTAGAAAAGTATGCATTGTCAACATTTTGTAGTTCGGCGTTATGGAACAATATATGTACTTTATACGGACGCAAAACAATTGACGTTTTGGAAGTCGGCCTATATTATTAGATAAAAACAAATCATTCGACCATCATTTTACCGTACTAAGCACAATTAGTCTTCCTTTTGATTTGATAAAAATTTTGCAACAATCGAATGTTGTTTGTCAAAAATATGACAGATAACTCTATAGAACCAAACTGCGTACATTTAAATATTTTCAAAATTTAAGAATGTAAGAAGTAGGTATGTACATATATAAACTTTGTAAATGATTTAAATATATACATATATGTGTAAAACTTGAAAATTAGTATAGTTCACCTGTATCGAACTCTATATGAAGCTTTTAATCCTCCATCAAATCCCGGAGTCCATGCTAAAGTTACACTATCGTGTGTTACATTAAGTATATTCAAACTAAGTGGAGTATCTGGCTGGGAAGTAATGTCCAACCGAATAGATTCCGTAGCCTGACCCAATTCATTCGTTACCACACATTCATAAGCTCCATAATCGGCCGGTGCCACTTTTTCAATGATAAGAGTGGATTCATAGGTCAGGGGATCAATTTTCTTTTCTTCAACCTCATACTTATATGTGCGATTTACTGGAAGGTCTTTGCTTTCTTGACGCCATATGAAGTTTGGTTTTGGGGCAGATTGGGCGCGACATGGTAGGCGTCCTCGTTCACCTGTACCACTCGCTGCGCGTAAAAAAGTTGGCGATTTATCGATTTCAGGTGCAACTATTACAAAATAAAAAATATAATCTTTTCTAAATTCAATGATGTCATCTACGTGACTTACATTTGACAATGAGTTGAACATCGCGATTTGTCGGATTTGCAACACGATTATCAGCAATGCACCGAAAACTTCCGACGTCATCGCGACTTGCGTCTTTTATATGCAGATATGAGGTTCCATTTACAAATGACGTTGTGGTTCTTGATGCAATGTCATACGCCACTCTCTCCCATTTAATGTGTTCCTCGGTTAACGGTTTTCCTTCTACGGTACAAGATAACACCGCATCTCCGCCAGGATTCACTACAACATTTTCCGATATAGCTTTTATAGTAGTACCATCTGCAAATAAAAAAAGGTGTTGGTTGATTTTACCAACAGGGTGGGAAGATGAGATGTTGTCTTGATTAAGTTTCAGGGTTGTGATCCCAAAATACACCAAAGAAATACAATCGTGGCTGACGAAGATATAATAAAAATGTATTCAATATGTTGCAGCATTTTTCTGTACGTATTGCGCTCAATATTTCTTCTTAAATTAATAATTTCTGAACAGCTTACAGTCTGGTTTACAAGCATTAGGGAGTGATTACAATGCCAGCTTGGAGTTGAGAGTATTTTCCCCTTCTATCTTCAATATCTGATTGGAGAGCGGTATGGCTTTCATAATAACATAATCGGATTTCGAACTTCAAATGCAACTAAAATTTCACTCCAAACTGAGACGTAGCAAGTAATTTTTAAGCAAAAAACAAAACTGACTTCAATTCTCATATAAAAATTTAAGATTATCGTTAATTTCTTCATAATCCAATGATCAGATTTAAACCAAATTAGTATGGGACCACCTGTGAGGTAACACCTTTCCTTAAAAAAGGATTATAGCAATCGGTTAATGTGGTCCAAAATTATGCGGTAACATACATAGAAAAAAATAAAAATAATCAGACGAATTGATAGCCCTCTCCTTTTTGTGAGTTCAGTTAAAAAGAACACCATTAAAAAGAAAAAAGCATTCTCCGCAAGAATCGAACTTAGGTATTCTGCGTTAAGATGGAATCGAAAGAGGAAGAGAGAAAACATCTTTCGAAATCAGCTGTTTGCCTAGGAATGTGTGAAATCGAAACAAAACAAAGAAATATTTGCCACCAAACTATAGCAGCTTATGAAGTTAAAGTTTGTAAATATTTTAAAATAAATAAATATATCTAGCATCACTGTAATTTAAAAATAAAATTTCGTTTGCTTTTAATTTAGTGGAAACATAATTATAAGAATGAAATCCTTAGCCGCGGCGTTATTGCTTGAAGAGGAGAACGAGTCCCAGATTGGTGATGCGGAAGTTGAAAGGCGGAGATTTAGGGACATGTTTGATCTTTTTCAGATGAGTGAAGAGTCATAAACTCATCATGAACTGTATTACTCACCGCTCAAAGCCAGTGAAATTATAAACGTTTTTTGAGCACCCCACAACATTTGCATTTACTACATAGTGGAAGATTTGACCGCAAATGAATTCCATTTTGAAATCAGTCAGGAGGAGGGGAATAAGAAAGCTTATCCTTCCATAGCAAATCGAATTCGAGACAACATACGCACTTCTTTTTAAAGACTTAGTAAAAAGGAGTGCAATAATAAAAGCATATTTTTTTTATGTAACTTCACATTTTATGTATGTCTGTATGTATGTACACACCTCTATTAATCTTTTATACAAAGAATAAATTGTATTCAGTGTATTTCACAGTCTTATTTATAGATAATGAAAACAAAAGCGCCTGTGCTTCCTCTTTGAAACCCTCGCGCAATATCCCTTTTGGTTGCCATTATTTGAGCCAATTTTTCGTATTGCCCGTATTACCGCTCGCGAACACACATAAATCGAGAAAATTCATTTATGATGACTTTCACAATCATGCACAGTATATTTTACTTAAGTTTTTTATAAAATTTCATTATTTAAACCCACGACAATAACAATCGAAACGTTCTCCGTCACCAAATTTGCAACTTAGAAGAACGGAACTACGATCGAAATGTAGAATAGATATAATCGTAAATTTCGAAGATTGATCGCAAGGAAACGGAACGCAGAATAACAAAGAGAAAAATTCGATTCGAGTCGAAATGCAGAATAGAGCTGATTATTGTAGACGTGCCTTAATAGTAAAGAGATAATTATCAGAATAATAACTAGCGTTTTTAGTATTTTCGACAGAATGTCTGAATTCTTTTTAAAGGACTTTCAAATTTTAACAAGGATATTGGTTTCAAAAAAATCGTATAAACGTAAAGCAAAAAAAAAAATAAAAACCCTGCAATGCGACAGCAATCGCAATTTTAGTATTTGCTGTAGTAATAATCCTCCATGATTCTCCCCTCGCTACGATCATTCTAAGTGGTTGCGCATCGAGTGACTATTTTCCCCATAGGAATTATACGTCAGAAAATGAGTTATTATGTTTTGAGGTCAATATAATTTTCTAGGATTAATAAATTCGCTCGAACTATAAGAATACATTTATTACATGCCATTTAAATATTATGCATGCTCAGATTATTTAAAGTCCGAAGTTATCCTTTTTTAATTTAAGGAATCTTTAAATTCTTATAGTTTGAAGCGTTTTCATTAATCCTAGTAAATTATATTGACCTCAAAAGAGGATAACTCATTTTCTCGCGTGTAATTCCTATGGAAAAAATAAGCACTCGAGAGGAGAGATTCATGGATTACTATTACTACAGCAAATCAAGAATGATAGAATTGTATTCTCTCAATCGTGACAGCAAATGCTAAAATCAACAAATTTAAGTTACTGAGCCAAACGACAGCCACGGCAATATCAATTACAACAACATCGTTCTGGGAACTGAAAAAAATATTTCAACACCAAACTAACAAATCATGATACAAGCATACAGCTGAGCAAATGCCAGCCAACTCGAGGCAGCAGTGAATGTATGTCGATAGATTTGTGTCCCGTTCGTTTGCCCTAAAGGCCCGTTTACATACAACTTTGGCGTTGCGTAGGCGTTGGCGTCGCTTCGACAGCTGACTATGAATCCATACATTTATATGAAAGTCTCCACATAACCAAAGTTGGGCAACGCCAACGCCAACACAACGCAGAAAGATGGCCAACTCCCAACTTTTCGCGCGCGTCGTTCGTCAGCTGTTCTAAATAATCAAAATTATGTGATTTAATTTTCCTTTTTAATCAAATGCGGACAAGAAATATAGTTTTTAATGCAATTATTGATATACAATTTTGATTTATCTGCCGCTAGTATGTTAATTTAGTGACCAAAGTATTCTCTGCTAAGCCAGCACCAGCAACAACGCAACGCCAAAATTGTATGTGGACGGGCCTTAAGTCAACGCTTGTTTCGTTTGTGTGCTGTGTTTGTTGTAACTGAGCCACAGTCAGTGTGCGGATTGAAAATTTTTTAAGTGGTACATAAGTACGGTGACCATCCCTTCTGTTTTTTGCAGGACCGTACTGTTTTTCAAAGGTCGGTCCTGCGTAGTTTTTCAAACCTGAAAAACCTGAAAATGTACTGAGTTTTTCCAAGTGTCCTGCATTTGTCCCGCATTTTATTCGTTATTTTAAAATTATCGGACAATGGATGGATTTTTAAAAAAAATTGTATTTTGGTACTTTTCGTAGCTTTTCTTCAATATCTCATCAAAAAATCTCCCAGTCAACGTAAGCGACTTACAGCTCGAAGGGTATTGATTTGCCTCTTACCAAAATATATAACTTGTGGCGACTTCAATGAAAATTATTAGTGCTACAGGCGAACATTTGCATTTTGTCGTCAAAGTCGAAAAAAAAAGAGATTTTCAATCAAATACGCATTTTCATTTGATTATTTTTTTCATTATTTTAAAAATTCGATAAGGAAGATATATCATTACAGTAAATTTTGAGCCAAAGATAATGAAAATCGGATTAGAAATGTAGATGCTATGGAGCGCAGTCTGCACAAATTATATATTTTTGTAAAGGGCACTTTGTAACTCGTCGTTTACGTCGATTCATGACGTCGATTTTTGACAAATAACTGCGAAAAGTACCAAAAAAACAAAAAAAAAGGGTATTGTTTTCGTTTTGAACGACTCAAATTTGCCTATAAAATAATCATTTAAAGGTTTCCACTTTTCGTGTAAGCTATTGTAATTATAATATGTTTTACTATACTTGTATAAATATTCATGTAAAAAAATATTAATATCGATGAAGAAAACGTGATTGATTTTTAAAGTTTAAAATGTATTAAGAATTTAGACTCATAAATCTTTTGGTATTTTTATACTACGTAAATATGTGTAGGCATATTTTTGAAAAATTGTCCTTCATTTTGAATCCATATTTATGGTCACCGTATACATAAGCCATAAAAGTTGTGGAAGGTTCCAAAATAATGTGGTAGATTTACATATATGTACATTAGACTGCATCACCAAAAAAATGTTGCGGTTTTTCCGCCAGGATTACAAAATTTATTATATTTTAAGACGTCCACCAAAATATTTCGGAAAAATTTAAGATTTAAGTGAGCTGGACCAATTTGAAAATACCTCCAAAAATGGAG